GGGACATACGCATTGGAAAATGAGGAGCCTTCCCTGCTCTAGTTGCAGTGCTGTACGTGGCTACCCCAAATCATCCCAGCACCCTCTGCACCAAGTTGATTGTCCCTGCATTGTGAACCCCACTTTTCTGGGATTCAGAAACCTCACTCTGCAGCCTCCAGGCCTCTAGGGTGTCGCTGTATGACTTTGGTTCTGCCATGGAGATGCATCCTGGCGACACCCCCAGAGAGCGCCATGGGGGCGAGGGGCAATGCCCGGCCCACCAGCTCTGCCGCCAGGAGTAGCTCCCCGCATCCTCCCAACAGAGTCCCTTCTGAGGCCCTTCAGACTCAGGTGGGCTCTTGCTGATACACTCAAGTGTGTGAACACAGCCCCAATCTCAGGCAAACAAGGGGCATAACTTTAATCTTCCTGTAACAATTTCTCTCTTGAGATCCATTCTACCAGGTGGTGGAGACGCAACTGTCTTGGCCACGTCTTCTTTCCCAGGGCTGTGTCCAGTCAGGAGTGGCGGATGCATCTGCTACAATACCCCTCAGCCCATCTGGTCCTCACGTACCCACCAAGGCACACGGCTGCACAAATCCCCCCCACCTTGTCTCCAGGCTTCAGTCCCAGCACTCGCCCAACTGGCAGGCGTGGGGCTGTCTGTGGCCCACCTGCAGCCACTCTCGCCCATCCCGCTCTGAGGCATCACCCTTCAGGAGGTTCTCTCTGGGACCCACCCCACCCTCTGCTCCTTCCAAGCCCCTCCGCCCAGGGGCACCACTTCTTCACCTTCGGGAGTTTCCGCCAACACCGCATCTGGAAGTGTTTTGAAGGGCTTCTCCTTAGACTCGCTCCGTCTTGACATCTGTCTCAGAGAAGCCCATGGCACAAGGGGTTGAGGATTTTGGAAACATGGAGGCCAACCATCTGACAGCCCCTATGGACTCCTCAACCCCTTCCCTCTTCATCCTACTGAAATGGGGGCCCAGTGGGGACAGGTACTTCTGGAACGAACGTCACAAAGAAAATGTCAGCTCACCACACCAAAAATGACCGTGAATGAAAAGGGGAGGGGATCAAATCCCACTTACGACACCACAGAAACTATAGATTACTTAGCAATAAATATAGCAAGGAAGATACAAGAGCCACACGAAGAAAATGATGAACTTGGATGGAGGGACCAAGCAAATGGTGAGATCCATGGAGGTTCTGAGTGGGAACTTCCAACAGGGAAGACCTCTTCCTTCCCCAACTTCGTCCCCAAATGAGTGAAAGTCCAGTCAAAACCCTGAGAGTGTTGTTCTGGAACTAGACAAGTGGGTTCTAAAATTCATAGGTAACAAAAAGCTGTGAGAAGTGGCAAGAGTCTTTTAAAAAGAAAAGCAGGGCTTCCCTGGTGGTGCAGTGGTTGAGAAGCCACCTGCCATTGCAGGGGACATGGGTTCGATCCCTGGTCCCGGAGGATCCCACATACCGCAGAGCAACTAAGCCCGTGCGCCACAACTACTGAGCCTGTGTGCTGCAACTACTTAAGCCCGTGTGCCTAGAGCCCGTGCTTCAGAAGAAGAGACGCCACTGCAATGAGAAGCCTGCGCACCGCAGCAAAGAGTAGCCCCCGCTCACCGCAGCTAGAGAAAGCCTGCACACAGCAACAAAGACCCAACACAGCCAAAAATAAATACATAAACAATTTTTTTTAAAAATTGAAAGAAGAGCAAGACGGGCTCTCACCTCATCAACTGCTGAAACCTGGCTGGAGTCAGGCAGCTGGGTGAGACCCAAAGCAGGGAGGGTGTCCCCAAGGGTAGCAGGCCTGAAACACACACACGTGTACAAATGCCTCCTGTTATCAAGGTGGTGCTTAAGTCACCAGGGAAAGACGGGTTGTTTAACAAATGGCATTGAGAAAAACTGGCCACGTGTTTGGAAGAGGTCCCTGCCTTCTGCCACATAATGAACTCCAGGTGGGCTGGATGGCTGAATGTGGTGGCCAAACCTGTGACAATGTTAGAAGAAAATACAGGAACCGTTTTCCTCAGATAAGGGTGGAGGACGTTCTCCTAAGACCTGAAGCCCAGAAACCATAAAAGAACAATTAGATTCGACCACATGAAACTCGAGAACATGAGTATGTACAGTGACACACCAAAAACAAAGACGCAAGGAAATATCTGCAAAACATACACCGCGGGAAAGACTGTTTCCGTAACACACAAAGGGGTCTTGCAAATCATAAGGAAAGACAAACGCCACAATAGAAGGATGGGCTAAGGATGCCATTGGACAATCACAGAAGAAACGCAAGTGGCTGACAAACACTTGGGACATCTAACCTCATTAATCACTTCTTAAGTAGCCCTCAGAGTAAGATTCTACTGGCCAGACTGGCAAAGAGTCCTAAAGCTGAATAACACCCTCTGGGAGTGATGTGGACGGAGCTGGTGTGACTGCAACTTGACGCGGCCTTTTTTTTTTTAATTTATTTTTGGCTGCGTTGGGTCTTTGTTGCTGCGCGGGCTTTCTCTAGCTGCGGTGAGCGGGGACTACTCTTCGCTGCGGGGTGCAGGTTTTTTATTGCGGTGGCTTCTCTTGTTGCGGAGCACGGGTTCTAGGCACGCGGGCTTCAGTAGTTGTGGCACATGGGCTCAGTAGTTGTGGCTCACAGGCTCTAGGCGCGCGGGCTCGGTAGCTGTGGTGCATGGGCTTAGTTGCTCCGCGGCATGTGGGATCTTCCCAGACCAGGGCTCGAACCCGTGTCCCTTGCATTGGCAGGCGGATTCTTAACCATTGCGCCACCGGGGAAGCCCAACACGGCCTTTTCTGAGCACCTATTTCATTGTTAAGTCTATGTCCTCTCTGGCTCAGCTGCCCCTGTCTCAGAATCGATGTGACAGATAATTGCCTGACCCCATAACCATATGAGGACCAGGACGGTCACGGCAGGACTGCTGATGAAAACCACTGAAGGCACCTCCGCGCCCACTGACAAGGGGAAGCTGAATGAGTCCTGGTCCAAAAGATACTCAGCAGCTGACACTGAAAGGTCCGTCTAGACGCCCTGACCCAGGAAAGTGTCCTTGATGAATGGTTCAGAAAAGGAGGCCATGGCACCCTGGCCTATCAGAGCTATGTGTGTGCCTAGGAGCCGAGCACGTCACACGGACCGTGGGCTTCGATCCTTCTGCAGCAGCTCGCGAAGGCCAGGGCACCCATTCAGCTCTGGCTGCTTGGAAACGGGAGCTGAGGTGTCGAGGCCGGGTTATCTGGGCCATGCTGCCGTAAGCCCCTCCGTCCAATCCTAATCGTGTATCTTAAAAGACCTGGGAGAGGGCTTCCCCGGTGGCGCAGTGGTTGAGAGTCCGCCTGCCAGCGCAGGAGACACGGGTTCATGCCCCGGTCCGGGAAGATCCCACATGCCGTGGAGCGGCTGGACCCGTGAGCCATGGCCGCTGAGCCTGTGTGTCCGGAGCCTGTGCTCCGCAGCGGGAGAGGCCACAACACTGAGAGGCCCGCGTACAGCAAAAAAAAAAAAAAAAAGACCTGGGAGAACTTCACGTCTTTTTGTGTTTTAAACACTTCCCTCAAATAACAAATTTAGCAAAGACTGACGTAAAAGTTGGTTTGAACCCCATGCCCCTGGGGTGGCCCGTCCACATCCTCCCAACACCTCCAGGCCTCCCATTGCTCCCGATCTCCTGGCTCCCGGCCTCCTCCGAATCCCCAAGGTTCTCTGCACGGGTCTTCCAGGTCATCCGCCAGCAGCACCCGGTCCCACGGTCCAAAAGCAGCAGACGCACACTGTGGATAGCACGCTTTACTGAGGTTTGGGTGGGGGGCGGGGGGGTACATCGCAGAGCAGCAGAGCAAACTTAAAATGGAGTGGGAGACCACCCTCCGACAAGTCCCTCGGCCATTTCCACCAGCAGGAAGTTGATACCAGTCTCCAGTGACCCCACTCTCCCCACTGGTTCACTCGCCCAGGACCTCCAGACCCCTCTCCATCACTCCGTAAGAGGAGCCCAGGGAGGAATACCAAGGCTGGCTCTGAGAGGAAGTATCGTTCATTCCAGGGAGTCCAGGACCCAGGAGTGACCTCGGGCTGGGTCAGCCACAGAGGGATGAAGAAGAACTGGCCGAGAAAGCCTGGAGTGGCTGCCGAGCGCCCGTGGTGAGCCTAGGCCACAAGATGAGCCTCGTGGCCAGTGCGTGTGGAGGCTGGGCTGGACTCAGGGGTGCAGGGGCTAACGGAGGGCTCCCTGCTGGAGCAGGAAGGGCCAGGAAAGCAGCAGCAGCCTCAGGTTGACCTCCACAGTCAGCCTCCTCCCACGGGAAGCACCCAGGCCATCTGTGCCATACCATCGCCTGGTCAGGGGACTGGCCCTCAAGACCCTACCCACGGCGGCGCCCAGCTCAGGGTGGAGGCGGGGGCGCGCCTGCTTCTGGGTCTGGGCCCTCGAGGTCCGCGCGTGAGCCTGAAGGGGCCCCGACAGCTCTCAGGGCAGCTGATCACCACCCAGCGGGGAGAGAGCTCTGGAGGCCTACACACGGGCGTGTCTGTATGTTCCCGTGCGCACGCACACGTGGACCTGTGCGGAGCTGCCTGCGCTGGGGCACACCGCTTCAGGGTCTGCTGTGATGCGAACGTGTCAGTGGGGGCATGTGGGGCACCTGTGGGCATGAGCACGTGACGACGTGAGAGCGTGGTGTGGGTGAGAAGTGTGCCCTCTGCGGGCGTAGGTGTGAGTCTGGGCACGGCCCCGTCCCCGGTGTGTGCACACACCGTTGCAAGGCCTCGCCCTCAGGCCCACCCTGTGACTTTGCTCATCTCAACTCTCACCGCCCCTCAGGCTGTTCCCAAACTTTACCAGGCCCACGGTCCCCTGGCAGCTCCATACCACAGCCCCCAGGGGACGAACGCTGCCCTCCCTGCCCCCGCCCCCTGCCCTTTCTCTGCCAGGACCCCCCCCCCCAAAAAAATCCCCACCCAGGCTCAGGCCCGGGTCTCTGGACTCAGAAGTGACTTTACTTCTCCGTAGAGGATGCCCTCACAGCCAGGCCATCGGGCGGGGCCTGGCTCAGCCTGGCTTCCCCTCCGAGGCCCGGGGTCCCAGCCTCCTGCTGGACGCCTGATTCCTGGAGATGTCCTGCTGGCTGGGACTTGGAGCTGGTGGAGAGACAGGGAGGGGCGGGGGCCACAGACTGTGGACAGGCCAAGGCTGCCCCCAGCTTCAGCCAGGCCAGGCTGGGGAGGGGGCAGCCACAGGCTCAGGTCTGGCGGGACGAGTTCAGAAGCTCTGCGGGAGGGAGGGGACCTCAGGGCCCAGCCCAGAGGAGGGTGGGCCCCAGGCCGAGCAGGAGTCCCCCCGCCAGGGCCCAGGAGCTGCGCCCCGCCAGCGCCACCCCGTTGCACAAATCCTTCTCACAGCAGTCCACATCTACTTTCAAGATCCCAGAGTTAATGAAGCCCATCAGATAGTCTGAGAAAAAGTGCCGCTTCACGAAGGCGCAGGACGAGGCACACATCTTGTTCACAGAATGATCCTTCCTGCCTGGGGAGGGGGGAGGGGAGCCTGGGGTTCGAGCCCCACAGGGCCCTTTCTGCCTGGTGCCCAGGACCCAAGCCAGGGACCCTCCAGGTCAGTTCAAGACCCCAGAACAACAGAACTGAGGCTTCGATCTGTCCCCAGCTACATGAAAAGGGCCACTGTCCCCAGCTACATGAAAAGGGCCACAGAAGGGCCAGAGAGGGTCAGGCACCTGCTGACTGTCACACAGCAGGGCAGTGCCCTGCCCCCAGACCCATGCTCTCGTCCGAGGCCAGAGGGACTCTGATGACAGCGCCGACCCCTCCCCACCCCAGGCTGGAGCCTGACTTACTGCTGCTGGGATCTGTGATCCGGACGCTGGCGCACACCGTGTCTGCCGGCGGGCACTGCTTCGGGGTGCAATGACTGGAGTTGGTGGTCAGCGTGCAGTCCTGGCACCACAGGCCATGAGCTGGGCAGGGCACAGAGAGGAGGATGACCAGAGGGACAGGGGTCCAAGCCAGCCAGCCCCTTGCGTCCTCCCCACCTGCCTCGCTGCATGTCCTAGGAGAACCATGCAGCTGTAGGAGGCCGGCACTCCTTGAGCAGGAGTGACCAGGCCAAACTAGCACCCGGAGGACAGGCTGGGACGACCTGTGTGCCTTTGGGCAGGGTGGGGTGAGGGTGCCACCACTGGGACTCCGGAAACCCCTATGCACCCCCCCCGGCCCCACACACACGCACGGTGCGTGCACACACAGCCACAAGTATCACACCTATGGTGCCCTCCTGCACACTCCTACCCCCTCACACACATCCCCCCAGAATCTAGTTGGTTCCGGTGGAGGAAGAACCAAACAGGACTTGATGGGAGGCCAGGTGGGGCTCTGAGAAGAGATGGAACACAAGCAAGCCGGCACTAAGCCGGGAGCAGCCGCTGGACCCGGGCCCAGGAGGAAAAGGACCCCTGCCCTCAGGAGCCAGGAGAGACCCGCGCCGCTGGAGCTGGGGCAGCGCCAGCAGGGGCCACACAGGCGAGCGCTGGGCTGGGGTCGCTGGGCTCCGGAGCGGGTGTGTGTCTGATGGGCATCGTCAGAGAATGGCCGCCCCACACCTGGTTCTCTCCGGAGCTGCCTCATACAGGCTCTCAGGCGACCTGGCCTACCCCCGCCAGCCGCCCCCAGACTCACCGGGGCCAGAGCACAGCAGAGCGGCCAGCAGCACCAGGCCGAGGCCCTTCATGGCCGCAGGCAACATGCTCCAGGCGGGCCTCAGGAAGGCGCGGGGGCTGCAGGCTGGGGTCGTCTGGGGCACAGGCCTGGCAGGGAGAAGCCTCGATCAGGAGACCAAGTCCCGTCCCAGCTCGAAGGACCCTCCCCTTTTCTGGCATCCTAACGCAACCTCCTCCCCGGAATCCAGGGCCAGGGGTCGTCCGGGAGCTCTCAAAGCCCCACCCCCAGCCCATCCCCCAGAGCATCCACCATCACTGCACCCCCCCCCCCCCCACCCCGGGGAAAATAGGTCTGCCCTCTCCGGCAGGGTGACAGCTCGAAAGGCCCGCACCCCACGCTCCGCACCTGTGGGTAGGAGGGTGGGTCGGGAGGCGCGTCTTATCCCTGGGGAGCGATAGGTGCGTCCGGAGAGGAAAAGGCAGGACAAGATGCGAGTGGACAGTACCTGCCAATGGGGGGAAGGGCGGGCGCCTCGCCCCCACCCCACCCCGGGCGGGGGCGGGGGGACCGGGAACCCGGCGCGGAGCCTCCTCCCCTCGTCTCCCCGTGCGAGCCTCAGCTCTCACCGCGGATCTAAGCGTGGAGCGCGGGCCTCAGGTCGGGGGCGCACTCACATCCCTGGGGTGTCGCGACTCCGGGGCTCCGGGAAGCGCGGGCGGCGCGGGGAGAGGTGCCCTTAGGTCTCCCTGTGGAAGGGAAGCCGGGTGCAGCCTTGTCTTTCGGGGAACGCAGCCGCAGACACGGACCCCGCGCGAGGGGCGGGGCGGAGCCGGGGCGGGGGCCGCGCGGGGGGGCGGGGGAGGCTGGAGACTCAAGGACTCAGGCGTCTGGGGCTCAGGGCCAGCGCCGGGTCGCCGTCCCGGGCCGTCCTGGGCCCCTCTGGCCAGCCGGCGCCCGGCTCGCCAGCGCGCGCCAGCCCTCTCCGGCTCGGGCTCCCTCCACCCGTTCCCGGGCGCTCCCTCCACCTCTACCTCCCCCCCCAGGCGTGGGCAGGATCCCTCCCCCCTCTGCTTGGCTGAGAGCCCCTTGGAATTTCTCGGAAGAAGAACGTTTACTGCGAAAGGAAAGGACACGGCACAAAGACGCAGAGAGGGAGGGAGGGAGTAACGGGTGGCAGGTGCTAGCACAGGGCCCTGTTCACAGCCCTTGGGCCCTCCGCTCCCCAGCCCCATCACGGTCTCGATTGTTCGAGGCTATTCTCCTCCCCGGAGCACCCGTGACGACCCCACCAGCAGCGGCAGCCCCAGGGACTGCTGCCTTCAGCCACGCCCACACTCAAGCGGGCGAGTCCCAAATCCTGGTCTGGGCATTCAAGGTCCTCCACTGCCTGCTCTGGCCAGTTTCTCAGCTTTGTCTCTCGTCTTCCGGTCCCACCAGGCGTTAGTCGTGCTGTGCTTTTGCATCTGCTGTCCCCTGTGCCTGGAATCGGTCTCTGCTGGGTGCTGAGTAAACGAAAGCTACCCTGCAAGTGCTGGGGTTGTTCCTTCAGTCCTGCCCTCATTTGTCCAACAAATATTTATGCAGACAGCCCGGGACCACCCACTGGTGTGTGGCTTCAGGTATGCTGCGTGCCCCCCCCCCCCCCCCCCCGTGAACCTCAGTTCCTGCGTCTGTAAAATGAGGGTGTTGCTAGTAACCACGTGGAAGTGTGTGAGGGTTACACGAGACCCACAGGGAGAGAGCTCACCGTGCACCTGGCCCAAGGCGCGTGCCAGCGAGAGGGAAGGCAAGCAGGGGACAGCTGGGCAGCTTGACAGGGGCTACAGAATGGGGTGAGCGGTGAAGCGAGGGCCCTGGGGGTGTGGACAAGGCCTCTCTGATGGAGCCAGTGAGCGTGGAGGAGGAGAGCTGGCAAGCTTCAAGGTAAGAGCGAGCAGGAGTGTTGGGGGAGCAGGGAGGGGAGGGGGGCGGTGGGGATGGCTCAGGCCACAGCAGAGAAAAGGGCTGGATATTGTCCGAAAAGCTCTGGAGCCAGGCAAGGCCTGAGGCTGGGCAGAGTCCACAGCCAGTCATCCTTGTCAGAACTGACACATGCATTTCAGAGTTAACACACAGCCTCCCCATGGGACTGGGGGCAGGGCAGATATCCTGGATGCCCTGCCACGAGGCCAGCCTGTATCCCTTTTGGTCAGCTGGATTCTGACTCCTTGTGCAGGTATAGGGTGGATGTGGGTGGCACTTGGGCAGCGGGGAGGGGGTCCCTGCTGATCACAGCCAACTTACTCCTGGACTAGGAGTCTCTAGTTCTGTCCAAAGTTCTGTCCAGATACTTGGAAGATCCCTGCCAGACCTAAGGCAGGGCAGCCCACCCCAACATCTGGGACAGGTGGTGTGTGGGGCAGGCTCTCAGAGCCCCCAGCGACCCCCTGGTATTCTTGTCCTCGTGCATCCCTTTTTTATTTTATTTTATTTTTTTGCCACTCCGCACAGCTTGTGGGATCTTGGTTCTGCAACCAGGGATCAAACCTGGGCCTTCGGCAGTGAGAACGCAGAGTTTTAACCACCGGACTGCCAGGGAATCATCCCCTCTCCTTGAGCATGGCTGGACTCACTTGTAGTGAAAACAGTGTGGCACAGGTGACAGGATGTCACTTCTGAGGTTGGATTGTTAAGACCGTGGCTCTGATGCGGGCTCTGCCTCTCGCTCTCTCAGATTGCTCACCCTGGGGGAAGCCGGCTGCCGTGTTCGAAGGCAACCCTGTAAAGAGGGGCCGAGGCCTGCGAACAACCACCCAAGGGAGCTTGGAAGTGGACCCCCCACACACACCCAGCTGAGCCCTCAGATGAGATCACAGCCCCAGCCGACAGCTTGACAGCAACCTCGTGAGAGAATGTGAGCCCGAGGTCCCAGCACCTGGGTTCCTGACCCACAGACACTTCGAGAGCATGAACGGTGTTGTTTTAAGCCCCTAAGTTTGGGGGTAATTTGTTATGCAACAAAAGACAGCAGGTGAGTAGGGACTGGATTGGGCATGACAGGGGCAGAAGCCAGGTGTCCAAAGAGCCATGCCCGAGGAGTCTGGGGCCAACGCTGGGGAATGCAGCTCTGGGCCTGCTCCTCAGAGAGCAAAGACTCTGCTCTCCCCATGCTGGGCTTGGTTGCCAGGGGGACAGAGATCCCTAACCGGGCTTCTGAGCTACTCTGCCTTCCTCCCAGTGCACGTGGGATGGTGTCACCCTACCAGGATTTTTGCAAACAAGAATAACAATCAGTCTTGATTAGCAGAAGAAAGAGCAGAATGTGCCCACGTGTGGCCCTGGCCCTTTCAGTCTGGACAGCCCCCCCATGGAGCTGGTGACTGCTGGCCTTGACCTCCCTCCTCCCAGACTGACCTGGCCCAGATGCCCAGATGCTGGCAAGGGTCTCACCCTGCCCAGAGACCCTCTGACAAGTAACCACAGCCTGGGGTGACTATGTGGCTGTGGCCCATCTCATGCTCTCCTCAGGGTCGGGATGATTGCTGGCCAGCTGTCCCCACAGCAGAGCTGCTTCAGGTGGTCAGGACCACGGACAGCGTCAGAGGCTTGCGTTCTTCACCCACCGGCCGCTGCTGCGCATCTGGAGTTCTGAAGCGCACAGAAGCAGGGGACTGGCCTCTGGGTCAGGCCCTGGCAGGAGAGGGGCAAGGTTCAGGTAACACCTGAGCTGTGCTGCAGGGTTTTCTGCCTTGTATTTTGGCCGACGCCATCAGAATCCCTCCAAGCCGTCCAAGATTGTAGGTGTGGCTGTGACCCGACCACCCTCCCTCACAGAGAGGACCAGCCTAGGGTTGACAGGGACATTCACACAGCGAACACTTCCTGCAGTGCTGCTGAACTCGGGGAGAGAGAAAGCCTCTGGGCCCCGAGGACCCCCAGAATAGTGGGGAGAAGCCAACAGGCTGAGCGCTGGGAGCTAAATGGTGGCCCCAGAAAAGGTGTCCACCTCCTAACCCCTAGAATCTGTGAAGGTGACCCTGTTTGGAGAAGGGGTCTTTGAGGGTGGGACTAAGTTAGGGATCTCAAGATGAGGCCGTCCTGGATTTGGAAGGCAGGGCCCATCTCCAATGTCTGGTGTCCTTATAAGATAGAGGAGAGGGACAGACACAGAGAGAGGCCACATGATGGAGGCAGAGACCGCAGGGATGAGGCCACAGCCAGGGACACCTGAAGCCCGCAGAAGCTGGAAGGGGCAGGAAGGGTCCTCCCATGGAACCTCTTGGTTGTTTTAAGCCACAAGAGAGTGATTTGTTGCAGCAGCTGCAGGAAAGCAGTACAGAGTGCGATAGGCGCTGTGAGAGAAGAAGGTGCCCCTCCCCCAGCCCCGGCTGGCCATCCTGAGCTCCGAGTCCCCGGGGACGCCTCCTGGGCTGGGCAGACAGCAGGGCGCTCCTCTCCCACTCACACTCAGATCGTCCGGGAGGGACAGGCAGCTGCCCCCCACCCCGGGATCCAACCAGACCAGTGCAAGGAATGGTGAGCCGCTTGGCCTCATCCTCACACAAAAACACCCCAAGTCACAGGGAGTTGACCCCATGTGGACACTCCTGGGTGTCCCTGCCCTGGGCACTCTTTAGGGGGTCTGTTCTCATACATGCACTCAGGAGGTTTCATCCGTGGCCAGCCCCAGGGACCCCAGACCCCAGGCCCTGTGGCCAATATGACCAAACATCAGACTCAGATGAACCACAAATAGAGGTATGTAACACCTGATGAGCACTACAACCCCCAATAGACGGGGCAGACCCTACAGGACTGACAGGACTGACCCTGAAGGACTAACAAAAACAGAAACAACACTGTCCTGATTGCCGTGACCCTGATTGATTAAATCATTGGCCATTGACAATTGATTCAACCTCCAGCCCCTCTCCCCTCCCCGGACATCTGGGGGTGGGACTGAAAGTTGGAACCCTCTAACCACAAAGTTGATTCTCCTGGCAACCAGCCCCCTCCTTAGGTAACCGAGGGGCTTTCCAAAAGTCACCTCATTAATATGACAAGAAACACCTTTAAGACTCTGGTCACTTAGGAAATTCCAAGAGTTTGGGGAGATTTGTGCCAGGACCAGGTGAAGACCAATATGTTTCCTGTTATCAATCACAATATCACAAGGCTCTACTGTTGTGAACATTTGGACATTTTTATAGTAAGATGTTTGCATTTTCCATAATGTGCACGTGGCGAGGGGCTGGACCCTGTCCCTATATGGCTCAGTGACTGCATGAGAATGATTTTTTAAATTCCCCAAGTTTGTGCCACTAACTAGATTTGTCTTCCTTTAAGTTAATCCGGATCCAGGAGTCCCAAAAGGGGATACTGGGACCGGTCACAGGGGGAAATGGGAGTTTGGGGATAGAAGGACCTGGGTTCAGGTCCCAGCTCTGCTGTAATACAGGTTTGTTTTGTTTTGCTTGTATATCTTTTTACTTTTAGAGGGTTTTTTTTTCTTATTACAAAAGCAATCATTGTTGTCAGCGAATATAGTCTTGACCGCACTATCTTGACCAGGTCTTGAGGCCTTGGCTAGAGATGGTCATTTCCCCTTCTTGAGCAGCCATTTAAGTGCACACCCAACCTCTTTCCTTAAAGCTCTCACACTCCAGGCCACTGTGCACCCACCCTAACCGCCCCACGCCGGGTACCAGGCAGTGAGGAACAGCCCAGTGGTCCAGCTGACCCCCAGCCACAGGCCACACACGCTGCCCCAGCCTGCAGTACCCCGCGCCTGGGTGCAAC